TATTACAGCGAAGCCATTCTGCCGTTTAAATGTTTATTATTTTCATACGAATCGAAACATATGTATCTGAAAATTGGAATACATTACAGACAATTTAAACAAACCGTTTTAAGAAAATTTACTTCTTAGTTTCATTGAAGGTATGGAGAGTTAATGAATGAATCGAATTATTTATTGAATAATAATGTGTATGTGAACGCTAATACTTTTAATATATATGATACGATACAGAATGCAGTATGAATTGAAGAAACATTTGAAATTCTGACGTTCGCCGAACAAAGCAAGACCCTTTTGTTTTTTACAGCATTTTAAGATTACATTATGTATTACATTTCAAAATAAAATCATCTTGTTATTATTTGGAAACAGTTTCATTTGTTCCAATATTACTCTTTTATCACATACTTCCGTTTCTTTGTTTCTGTAATGGAACTTGAAATATTGAATTCATCAGACTGCAGAGATATTCATGTGGTATTATTTTAACTGCTTCAGTTGTAGTTTTATCCTTATTACTGAGGTTTACGGTAGAGAATTTTAAGAAGGAAGTTTTTGCACGCCAGAACCGACAGTCATCGACTGCACTTTCAATTACGCATGCGCAGGTGCAAAGAACTGATGCAAAATGAAATGCACATGCGCAGAAAATCGCTGGTGTTATGGATCGATATAACGTTCGAGAGTGCAAAACTTCCCTAATATTCCGACAAATTTTATTGAAGGAGTCTTGAGTTGGCTGAACTAAAATTAAGGTATGTGAAATCCCTTTGACGCTTATTGAAGTTAATCTTCTTTTGAGGGAAGTGAAATGTTAGAAAGGTACAAATTTAGAGATGTTGAAGTGGTGTTGGTCCCCTTCCAACACGGAAATGGAGACAGCAGGCTCATCAAAGTCACGTTCAAGGTAGCAAGCTTGCTAAGAATATTTGGGCACTGCGGGCAACTTACACGAGATTGAAAAGTAAGAACAATAAAATTTCGTCTAGTTGGAGGTACTAAATACGAGGCTACTGACGCTACTTGTAGATATGGGTGGTTGCTCCAAGCTTGCGATATTGATAATCATTTGCTCTAATAAGAGGAAATTAGGCATTGAAATGAATTACACATGTCGTATTTCAACTTATTTAAAGGTAAAATTGAACATTTTGGATCGACATGATGTCGATTTCGTAATCATGTTTTATTAAAAGTGCACTAATTGAATTAACTTCAGATTAGAATTTATTTACTTTTTATTAATTTATTTTGCGTCGAAAACCGTTATAAAGCGTGTGTAACCTGCTACAGAGTGAAGTGTATTCTGTACGCTCTGGGATTCCTACTCTAAGCTATTAACAATTTGTACACAACCATATACACAATTATTGCGAAAAAGAAAGAAATGAGCGTTTTTGGCTGAAATTGATAAGAAAATATTCTCTCCGATGTAATGAAACCTATTATCAAATAGCAAATCAGCTATAGATTTGGGCTCTTTTCCCTCATTGTGACTTTCGTGAAGGAATATAGTAGTATAATTGTGTAATAAGAAGGAATATATAATTGGGGTATATTGTAAATGATTGAAAGGTGCAAAGGGGAGGTGTTAAGTACTATGCCGGCAATGTTAAATTTTTAATGTTCGTCACCCGTTTTCTCAAAAACCTAATTGGACGTAGAACAAAATTGACATGGTGATTTAGACACCTCGTCACCACACCACATGGCTGAACTAAATCACCACATATTGATTTAAACACCACCACTGAGTTTTTTTCAAACCCCGTCTATCTAGTACTTTCACTAAAGTTCCTGGAAACAATTACAATTTATTCAAATTCTGAACTTGTTCATATTAATTTTAAATCATACATTATCAATTACTGTGGACTTAAAATCGTGGTATTTAAGCGTAACACGATGTCTTCTTCATGGTACATATTATCTTCATTAAAATTCTAGTAAAATACCAGGATTCTGGGATGTCTGGCAACACTGCTCCCAACTGATAATCTTTCACAAGTCATTATATTTAATTCGGACAATAGAAACAAAAGCCTCCTACTGTATTTATTAACTCACATATATATGACAAACTAATTAAAACAGCAATGTTTTATGCTAAAGCTTACATGATCGTTACTAAAATCTTACAAAACGACACTATGCGCTTCGAGGCATGGATTTTGTCTTCATCAGGTGCATAGTTTGAGAATCATAACTCGGAAGCGAACTGTCCTTTTAGTATACATTACATCTATCGAAACTATGGGGTGAGAGTAACATGCTGGAAAGCTGATCCACTGTTATTCAATGAATAAAGCAAACATTGGCGCTGCAAGGGGTTACATATTGTCGACGAAGACTGTTACAGTGGTATGTTGTTGTCAATCAGATTTCCACCTTTGGTTGGACGGGGGCCGCAAGCGGTGTGGCGTCTGGTATTGAAGGGGGCGTAGAACATGTGTGTTTTAGCATAAATCATTGTGGGCTTAATTTGTTTATTATATATGTGTGTTAATAAGTACAATATGATTGTGTAAAATTGATAATAACATTCGTTTATTTATCTTAGATATCGCTGTCTCTAAAAATAGTGGGTCATTCTTGAAATATTTATTAAATGAATATTTATTAAATATTATTTAAATCAGAATACAAAGTCGAATGCCACGCCCAAGGAGCCTCGTACCTTAGCGTCGTGGACGTGGTCGCCCGCGGACGCGTTGTAGACGAGGTGCTCCCACGCGGCGCAGCACTTGCGCGCCAGCAGGCGCAGCTCGGCCGGCGGCGGGGGCGGGAGCGCGGGCGGCGGCGGCGGCGGCAGCGGCGTGGTGAAGGCGGCGACGGCGGCGGCCGTGCGCTCGCAGAGGGCCGCCACGCAGAGCAGCGCCAGGGCGCACAGCGCGGGCGCCCGCGCGCGCCGACGCACCATGCCTGCGCGGGGAGATCGCAAGCGTTGGGAAGAACCAGCGCAACCGAAATGTTTTCGGCAATTCAATCGAACGGTGCTTTGTTTTCCGTGGTGAGGACCGGGTGAGGTGGCGAGGGGCGTCAACTGATGTCGGCGCAGAACCTCTGATCGGAAGGTCCTATGGTTCGGAAACCCGATTGATTGTTTTAGTGATTCTGGGCGCAACAACTACTATGCGCATTAGTCCCGTAAGTGTAGTGCACGTTCTTCCTCTGGAGGTGGCTGTGGTCTTCCCCTGCTGGATGGCGAGATCCGGTGCCGACCTAGCGTCGGCTAACGGGGTTTTCCCAGGTATCTGGGGAAACCGCCCCAGCCGGGACAAGTTCTAAGCTCTCGACCGCTTTTCCGGCATGTGTGATAGTGTAATGCATCTTAATTTGTGTGTGTGCTGTAAATAACTGTGTAGTCGTGTGGTGTGGGGTGAGGGTGTTGATGTAAGGGTTGTAGTAGAAGAGATGAAGAAAGGGTAGGAAAGATCACGCGCGGTTCCGTTGCCCATTATAAGAAGAACTGCTTACCGGCAATCGCGCTGGTCTGAGAAACCAATGGACAATTACAAATCAGAGCTGCCGCAGCTAGAATCTTCTCCAAACAGAGACGGGTTTGAAACCCTTGAACTTCGGTATAACAGTCCGTTGCGATAACGGTTTCCCCACCAAACCCACTAGCCAATTACCCATCGCCCGGACATTCTTCGTATTCAGTCCTTGTGAAAGTGGTAAAAGATAAATTTTATATAAAAACTGATGAACATTAATATTTTTAATGTAATTGTGTCTTGGATGTTACTTGACAGAACATTGCTATTTGATTAACATTTTTATCTTACGAGCTGGTACTGGCCTCCAGCGAATCTATTAGCTACCACATCTGTTGCAACGTTAGTGGCCTCTGGCGGAATAAATTAGGACCCTCACTATTAAATACCAACATTTACTTCATAATATCTTTTAAATGAAAAAAAAAGTGAAATTCATAAATAGAGAAATCTGATGCCTCCCTCAACAGGTGATACAATTTACGATATTTATAAAATTAATGAGTGAAGAACTTAAAAATGATATTTACAATGTTAGTTAGGGGGATAAAGAAGATAACAAATACGCAAATAAATTACTAACACTAGTAGCAAATCAAGTTCGCCAGTTATTCATAACTTAAAAAAAAAATTCTTTGAGTTAACTCCGGGGTGGTGTTGTGTTTTGTTCGGAAGAATCAGGGTGGAAAACTTAACTACGAGGAGAAGAATATTCAAATACAGAAACTTGGCGATTATTCCTTGGTGAAATGTAGTCCAGCCTATTAAAAGAATATAAATTATAATAAAGGACAACCAATTTAAAATATGTATTGTAAAAGTATTTAATGGAAATGTTCTATTTTCAAACTGTTCACCCCGGTGGCTTGACACGTGTGAAATGTTAAAAGTGCTTCAGTGAAATGTTAAAAATATTTGTATGTAGTATGAAAACCAGGTCAGTGGTCTGCAGGTCCTGTTTCTATGCTTTGGCGATGTGGTAGATATGTTTACTTGTGTTAAATTAATTGTACATGAGCAGGAGAAAGTATATGATAATTTTAAATATCTTGCGGAAAAAGGATCACTGTTCTCGTACGAATTAAAAATTAGAGCAATACCTGTGGATTGAAAGGGGTGTTGCGCAAAGCATAATGAAATGGAAGTCAATTGAAGCATCGGATGGAACAACGTTTTAAGCGACATATTCTACTTTTTAAACTTTTGCTGTTATCGCTGCTACATGCTCTTGTGACACTTGTCGGTTTTTTAAGAAATGTGTTTTAGAAAGGAAAATTATCTAGAAAGAATATTCTTCGACTAACGTGTTCGACTATGTAATTTTATTCCATGGAATGTTACGTATCCAGAACACATACGTTATTGTTCTAATATAGTATTTCTGAAAATTTTAGGTCGTCAGGGAAACTTGGAACTTATTGATTCCCCTTTCTGGGTACACGATTGAGATATTTGTATTTGCAGATAAAGATTCCTTGTTTACCATGTGGCGAGAATAGCTCTCCCGAGTGGGAAATGATTCAATATATTCCCTTGCATGATTGTTACTTGCTCTGTTTTGGCATACGGTCGATTCTTGTGGATCCTCATTCATCTATTATGTATTTATTTATTTTCAGTTTTTTATCTAGTACTTGAAGTCTTCTCGGTGACACTTTCGAGGTATTATACCATGTTTTGTGGCAAATACGTTTCCTTTTTCTGTTTAATAACATATAATATGTAATTGCATTCTACTCAGCATTTTCAGGATACATTCTGGAATTTATAAATATAGTTTAATTACATTGATGATATCTTCAGCGAGAACGAAATACTTGTATAACACCATGCACAATCTTTGGCGGATAAAGCGTTGTTCCACCCACCTCGTTTGGACGCTCTAATACTGTTTTTCTTACATTCCAAGGGTTTACGTACTCTTCACCTCCATCTTTACACAACCTTTTCTTACATTACAATTTCACTTTTCAACATTTCTTCTTCTTTTTCTCGTATTACTATCTTTTACAGTGGACGGTGTAATACTTATACAGTGACGCCATATTGCCAGCACGTTGTGCCACGTTAGCCAATGTCTGAGGTCAGATTTTCAACGCAAAAATAAACTTAACAGTCTAATAAAATATCAATGGGAGAACAGATTCATATACATCATTGTTCCATAGAAAAAAAAAAATGCGTCGCTTACAACATTGTTCCAGCCGACGCTTCAATTTACCAAAATGTGAGTTTGCAAAATTGTTTTTCACACACCGCTGCACTTTTGTCCAGAACTCGTATTTAAACAGAATAACATTACTTAAACGTGTATGTGAATTTCGCTACAAATGCTTAAACTGGAGTAAAAAAAAAGATTAAAAATTGAAGTATTATGTAAAACGTACTATTTAAATGTAAATAAAATGTAACCAAATATATGACAATCTATTTTCGTCAACTTTTGTTTAATAAGTTAATTTTAAGTTTTCGCAATACAGCAATCAATGCGCGAAAAAAATTAAAGAAAAAAATACATGCAATCTACGTCCATATACGAGTATCTACGATTTTATTGGTCACATTGGAAAACGACAAACACAATCATAATGTTCATTTTTGTTTGAAAAATACAAATATTTGATTAACCTATTTCGCCTATTCTCCGACTGCACGTACCGACTCAATTGTTATTGTCAGTGAGTCACGTTTTGAAGCTCCTGAGGACATACGATTGCAAGGTTCCAAAAGGCTGGCCGCCATGTAATATTTTCAAGTCACAGTTGCGTTTTGTTTGTTGGTATTCTGGTATGTAAATAATTGTATGAACCAAATACTTTGGTGTTTCAGTATTCGTGAAAATTTTTTTATTGAATATTTAATTTATTGTAATTTTATACTTAAGTATATGTTGTGTTTTGCAGTGTGCATGCTACTTTTTGGAAACCCCATTTTACGTGGTTTTCTGCAGCAGCATTTTTGCTACTAGTTTATTATTATTATTATTTTATTGATTATATTATTATTATTATTATTATTATTTTTTTATTATTTGTAATTACGTATTCATAGGGTTTGTAATAGTTATAGAGGAAGTGGAATGAATAATTTTATAAATAAACGGCTGACTATAGAAATCTGCGGAACCTAGGCAAGAACGGTCTGTTGCTTGCTCCCATACGATTTAACATTACATTCGCGTAATCTTTCCACCAACAGAAGCTGTTTCAAGAAACCCGGCCGTCAACGGTGTGCGCAGCGTGGCGATAACCGCCGTTTAACAGTAGTTCCTGCGTGTGGCGTCATGTGTTTCTTGACGTTATCCTGTTGGCACTTATCGTACTTCTAATGCAATCACTTCCTCGGGGTGCCCTTCCGGTAGAACAAACGAAAGATTTAAAAAGAAGATTATATAAAATATGTTAGAGAAAAAATTAGTGATACTTGATGTCGTTATGTAATTTTGTTTCTCTTGGATTCATTTTAGACTTTTATGAAGTGAGAAAAAAAAAGGTGTAATGAATACAGGGGGCTGTTTACTGGCCCAAACCTGCTTCGTAAATGTGCGGGAGGAAGTGATTTTCCTCAGACTATTGATTAAACATCATGGCAGTGTTGTATGTTGTAGTATAGTGGTAGAACAGAATGTGTTATTTTACACCCATCGCTATTCACATATCCACGGTTTAGTGGTTTTCATTTCTCTCATGACGTAGGAAATAATTAACTATTTAATGTTACTTATCTCATTAGAAGTAAAACGTCTGTAAACAATAAATTACTTCTTTAAACTTACTAGAAACGTAAGATGAAAATTCTGCCGAAATATGTAGTAAAAACAATATATTATTTGCAAAAAAACAACACTTTTACACTTTTACAGAGACCTTTTCAGTACGCTTTACTATATATTATCAGCAAATGTGGTCATAACGATAACGTCACTTCCTAATTCAACATTTCTTCTTAGATGCGTTCGTAACACACAATTCATTGAAGTAGCCTGTATGTATCTTCTGCACTCGACACAATCACGTACTGTACGGAGGCTTTGGGAGTTCTCGGAACACGTATGTCAATCTTCTCTAGTTACCACGTTCTAGAAGCAAATCACTAACTAATTCAAGACGGTACGTAAGTGAAGTGGTTCCATTTCTTTGGCTTAGCTGTGCCAAAATATTTGCCGTCGTTGCCTGAACTGTTGTTTTGGCCAGAAGTTTGCATCAACAGTATCTCTAATTAATATATACATTTGCAAATCAAATGACCATTTGACGTTTCGAATGGTAAGACGAAATAAATGTGCTACATTTAGTGGTGCCTTTGTTGCTGTTGGCATATGAAGTCCTTTGGCGATTTTGATTAATTGTCTGCGAATTCTGAAAATTAGTTTTAAATAAACATTACAAGTAATCACCAGTTTGAGAAGTACGCATTTCCCCTA